AAATACAATAAAAAATTAAAATAAAAATAATTTTTTTTGCAGAGATGGCATCTCACTATGTTACCCAGGTTGGTTTTGAGCTCCTACCTTCAAAGTACTCCTCCTATCTCAGCCTCTCAAAGATTTGGGATTACAGGCATGAGCCACCACGCCCAACGCCCAACAACCTGGAGTTTCTTAACTTGATCAGTTTTATGTCTATGTGCTTTTGCGTTAGCCTGGCATGCCCTTGTCTAACCTGTGTGATCACTGAACCAATCAGCCCACCAGATCCAGTTAGACATTTGCTCTCTGAAGCTTCCCGTCACCTCTTCTGTGCCACTGTTCTCACCAGGGCCACCTGACAGGCACTGCTGTGTTGGCCTAACCATCTTTCCTACCAGACAGGAGCAACCAGAGAAAGCGACTAGGCCTTATTAATCTCGTCCGCCCAGGGGTCTGGCACACAGTAGGCATTCAGTAACGATGCTTGCTCAATGAATTAAGATAATCACAGATAAGTATATGTTACTACACAGGGCTATAAAAGAAGTAAACAGAAAAATAACTCACTCTCTCTCAGGATTTCTAAATGGTTCAAAGCCTTTCACCGGCCTCAGACATTTACATCCTATTTTAAGAAGAGGCAACTGAAGCTCTAGGTCAGTCTTTGAAGGGGCCTAACTTGTTTATCAAAGACAATGAAGGGAAAATGTTCAAATCTAAGAAGAAATTATTATCTTACAAAATTTACACTGGCCCTGCTTATATCTCAAAGCTTCTTGTCTCTCTGGGAGGAAAAGACAAATCAGCTTGGCGCAAATCAATCAGGCAGCATTTATCAGGCCTCTGCTCAGGACTGGGCTAGGCCCGCACCTACGCACGCACTGACTCCCGATGCAAAGCCAGACAAGAAGAAACCAAACTGAGAAATGGAGAATGTCAAATCTTCTCTCCAACCACAGCCTGACTTCTCCTGAACTCTACCGACTTTCTTCTAAGCCCCGAGAACACTGGTTTATGCTTATACCAGGTGACACCAGGCTTCTCCTCGGTGCCAACCTCCTATCACTTTCACAAAAGCCTTCCCTGACTCTAGCCCACATTATTCTCTTTTCTGTATTTCAGAATTTCAGAAATTCTTGTCTGCATAATTAATTTTGGCATTAAATCACAACATCTTATTATCCTTTTCTTAAGAATTTATATTATCTTTCCCAAAGAGCTGGCAAGATGCTTAAGGATCAGGTTTTGCATCTCTCACATGATACAGTACTGAGCATATAGTAGACGCTTAATAAAAATACCAAGAAATTGAACTGTTACCATTCGGGCAGGTTTCTATGTTCTCTCTGCCAACACTGGCTTTTACTAACATCTCAAGGTCAACCACATTCACCAAAGAACAGAGATGCCAAAAGAGGCACCCAGTGGCACACCTGCCACTGAGTAGGTAGGCCAGCAAGTTCAAAGGAGAAGAGCACTGGGCTCCCTGGGGTGGTCTTGGAAAAGCTGCCCCACCCTGAGACATGAGTGTGTGGGGCTGAGCCCAGGGGACCCCATTTCTAGGCTCAGACATAGAATATCCATAAAAAGCCAAGATATGGGGAGGAAAGGGCTGCCGGGGATCTAGAAGTAAAATCGGCAGGAACACACATGAACGGAGGCCATAAATCCCTCCCGGACGCAGACAATGCCTCAGTGATAAGCATGCAGATTGCACACCTAGTTCAGAAACTCCCCTGAGTTTGCTTGTAATTAAGGGGGTTAGAAAGGTAAAAAAAATATATAAACCCAATTAATCATTTAAATATTTAAAGTCAGATTTTTCCCTCACTCCAGGATTAGTATATTTCATAACGCCAGCAGCAGACAGCCCTGGTTTTTACTGGGGTTCATTTTAGAGCATGTTTAAACTAGTCAGATTGAGTGATGCTTCCAGCAACTAATCGCATGTCAAATAAAAGATATTTTATGTAATAAATTACCGCTACAAGTAATTCAAATGTCATTTATCAGTTTTATTATCAGTCAGGCAAAGTCTTGTTTCTCTATATTAATCAAAATCAAGCTTTTTTTTTTTTTTTTTTTTAAGCAGTTTTGACACCTCTTGGCAAAAGTACAGAAGTGAAGAGGCAGTCACCCCCGGAGCTGAAAGGAGCGACGTAACGGTACGAGAAGAACGAAACTCAATGGTGACAACTAAAAACTTCAGGTATTTAAAATTACCATTACCATTGTTTTTACACGAGTGTCAAAGCAGGAAGAAGTCTGTCTCTAAGAACATGTATTTTATTTTTAGGGCTGGGAGACTCTTAAAACTATTCCTACCTAAATACCTCAACGTGTAATGCTTTTTCTCAGAGCAATCTGGACAGGAGAATGATTTAAATGGCTGAACTGCCCCTCCCCACCCCATTATTTTGCCTCTTTCAGAAAGACTAACAGTTTAACCCTTTGTGTCTATGGAAAGTAGCTGAACACATGGCCTACCAACTCTGTGACTGACCAGAACGATTTGTTCTGAGTCAGAAGTTTCCAAGTAGCCGAGAGACCTGTTCAGTATTAAGCCACTGGAGGAAACAGCTGGAATAGAACAGATGTGCATCTTAGAAAATTCTGCACCCCAGCTGCCACTGCCTATCCTCAACAAATCCCATTACACGGCTGGGCCCAGAGACACAACTAAAGAAAAAGTGTGGAGACTCAGCCTTTGGTTAAAAAGAAGCACGTAAAGTCAGCTTGGGACCCAAAGCAACTACAAGGGCCTGGAAAGAATGCTGGCCAGAAAGGATAAAGGAGCCCCGAGCTGACAAGTCGCAGATGCTAACCCAGTAGCCCGGATACAGGACAAGACTCAGCACTGAAGCTCTGCGCCCTGCAGTGGGTCACCCAGGCAGGGTACTGGCTGACGACACACTCGAGCACACACTCCCTGGCCTCCCCGACTCAGCCTTGTGTGGACAGCCAGAGGAAGAGGTCTCTAAATAAGATCCGTAACACAGAGAGCAGATTCCAAACCACTGGCTGGCCCTTCAGCAAGTCCAGAGAAGAAAAGGCCCTTCTGGCTCTACTGAGAAGACCACTCCTGCCTGGCTACAGCTGAGCCGGATGAAAGCAGTGCTGAGGTGAGGAAAGAGGGTAGCTTCAGGCCAGGTGTCGGGGGATCAAAACAAATCCGTCATGTGAAAATATGCCTTTTAAAATCTGATCTAATCATTCTAAATCATTTTTTGAAAAAAGAAAACTTCTGAGAATAACAATTAAAATGACAATTGTAGAAAAGGCACTTTGAAAGATAACAGATCCAATGTTGGGTTTCTATTTCTTTTTTTTGAGACCAAGTCTCACTTTGTCATCCAGGTTGGAGTGCCGTGGCCTGATCTCGCTCGGCTCACTGCAACCTCCACCTCCTGAGTTTAAGCAATTCTCCTGCCTCAGTCCCCCCAAGGAGCTCTGGGATTATAGGCGCATGCCATCATGCCTGGCTAATTTTTTGTATTTTTAGTTAAAATGGGGTTTCACCATGTTGGCCAGGCTGGTCTTGAACTCCTGACCTCAAGTGATCTGCCTGCCTCGGTTTCCCAAAGTGCTGGGATTACAGACGTGAGTCATCGTGCCTGGCGTATTTGTTTTTTTAAGACAGAGTTTCGCTTTTGTTGCCCAGACTGGAGGGCAGGGACACGATCTCAGCTCACTGCAACCTCTGCCTCCCGGGTTCAAGCGATTCTTCTGCTGTAGCCTCTTGAATGGCTGGGATTATAGGCACCTGCTACCACACCTGGCTAACTTGTTGTATTTTTAGTAGAGATGAGGTTTCATCATGTTGGCCAGGCTGGTCTCGAACTCCTGATGATCTCAGGTGATCCACTCACCTCAGCCTCCCAAAGTGTAGGGATTACAGATGTGAGCCATCACACCCAGCCCAGTGCTGAGTTTCATTAAAGAAACAAAATTGAAGCTGGGCGCAGTGGCTCACGCCTCTAATCCCAGCACTTTGGGAGGCCGAGGCAGGCAGATCACGAGGTCGAGAGATCGAGACCATCCTGGTCAACATGGTGAAACCCCGTCTCTACTAAAAATACAAAAATTAGCTGGGCGTGGTGGCGCCTCCTGTAATCCCAGCTTGGGAGGCTGAGGCAGGAAAATTGCTTGAACCCAGGAGGCGGAGGTTGTGGTGAGCCAAGATCGCGCCATTGCACTCCAGCCTGGGTAACAAGAGCGAAACTCCGTCTCAACAAAAAAAAGAAAAGAAAAGAAAAGAAACAAAATTGAGCTATTTTTCCATAGCTTTGTAGTCAATTTTAGCTTTTTTAAAAGTGATTTCGAGGAGGGCTTCAGGCTGCATTTTGGAGGTGTGCATTTATAACTCGCTTGAAGAAACTTTATCCCTATAGTAGCTTTCATTTAAGAGCAACAAAAGACCCCTCATGGGTCATGATCCCGTATATTGATAATTAAAAGCAACATTCAAAAAGGACCTTTACATTTTAACCTGAAATTCCCTAACAGACTGCTACTACGTGAATGTACAAGGTATAGCCAGGACAAGAGAGGGAGGATGGGAAATGGAGGCTGACCTAAGCCTACAAATATTAACTTAAAAAAATAAAATCGGGAGACCGGTTATTGCAGTGAGCAAACAAGAAGGCACCCATGAGTCAGATGTTCACGTTGTTTCGTTGTTTTTAGTGAAACAGTAACATTCCAAAGCACTGGGATCAGAAGATGGCAACAGAATCAATACACAGTTGTACAGGTTTTCTGCCTGTCATACCTGAACCAACAATAAAATCATTTACTCTGATCCCTTGTCTCTTCTCAAACCTTTGTCACACGCTCTAAAACGTTTGTCTAGAAGAAGACCGGGGTGTGTCACATTCCTTGGGAAAAACCCAAGAGCTTTCTGCTGCTCCCGGTTTCTCCCGGTTTGCTAACTCTGGGAGATACAGAGCACTGCTCTTTGGCCAGAGTCCTGAATCCCAATCAAGGTTAAGCAGGAGCTTCAGTGGGTGACTTACTGTATGGCTGAGATATGAGGTGAGGGGGCTGGACAGGAACCACCTGTGCGGCTGGGCCCAAGGACGAAGGCTCGTCAGCAGCAGTGCCGGACTGCTGGAAGGCCATATCAATCTCTTCATCTGTCAGCCCTGGGAAGAAGAGGACATAATCGCAGGTGAGTACCTTTTGCCAGTGTCCGTAGCTGCAACAGAATCTTCACTGAGCAAAGACCTTTACAGCCACAGAATGCCTTGCAACCTAGTAAGTTGCCTCCCCGATTTCAAATTCTCTGGAACCTCCCTCAGTTGCAATTTAACCTTAAGCGACAGAATATTAGCCTCAACACGGCTTCCAAATGTGGCTCATTCAATTTCCTTAATTTATCCTTGAGTTTATTGCTGCTTTTGAAGTCGCTCGGTACTGCAATTCTCCATTCTTCCCCCGAAAACAGATACCATCAACTGCAAATGTGGCTCATTTTAATCTGTAATGGTGTTAAAAAAAAAAAGAGGGGAAAAAACTAACAATAATGCATGAAAACAGACAGGGAAACAAAAAACTAATTATTGGGTGAGACGACTAATTAGTCTAGATCGTTTCTGAAGACGGGAATAATTTGCTTTATTTTATGACAAATGCAGAAATAAAAAGAAAAATCAGGACTGACTGTGATTAGTATGAATGGGATATAGAACGTAAAGAAGAAAATAAAACAAGAAAACAGATCAAAACAAGGCCAGGCCCAAACTTTCAGACGATTATGACTCTAGCCTATCACACACTGCCTGCATTGCCTTTGGCTAGTTTTTCTTTTCCCTTTTCTAAATCCTCCCGATACTCTAAACCACACCGTATATGGGACATCAGGAAGTAGCAGGGCGCCATCTGCAGTGGCTATGCCATGTGGAGAGGATTTGCCCACAGAAGAATAAGAGGCAAATGAAAACCCCATGAAGGCCACATTTCCAGTGGGCACACAGCTGGGATATTTCCAATGGGTCTGAAGTCAATTTGGGACATTGACTCTTGGGAGGAGGAAGAGGACCCCAACCAACCCGAAGGACAGGAACGAAATGTGACACACAAGTATGAAACGAGTGGTCCCACGGGGCCAGCTCAGGAAGCAGCTCTGTGTACAGAGACGCCCCAGCTGCTGAAAGTGGGAAAAGCAGGTGGGAGGTCACTGCTAGTCTGCAAAAGACCACTCGGCCTACCCGTGCTGTTCCGGGAATCCCAATATCCAAGCGAGCCGCAACACAGAGCTTTTAAACTAGAGCCGAGAGCTTTTCCACATCTGGTCGGCAGCTCTCCATTAGAGGCCCACAGCATGGTATATTTGCCCCTGGGGGTAGATGAAGTACAAGGAGGTTCTGAGGATCAGCATCTTCAAAAGCATGGTGCCTCATACTCTGTGCCTAGGGGCTAATAGATGGTGTACATTAATGCTTTAAAGCACAGCTCTGCCCTGCACCATACCGGCATGTCAGTTGACTGCAGCCATCCCTCAAACTTTTCATGCCCTATCACAACTGGTCAAAGGAAAATGCCTGAACTCTTCTAAATAGCCCTGGACTCTTTTTTCCCTTCTCTGTGCTGAGAAGCTCAGGACTGCCCCCATTTAAAATTGCGGCTGTTCCCTTCTTTACCCTCTTCACACAGTGGAGCTGGCCAAGGGCAGGCATGGCCACAGCACTGGGAAGTCTGAAGAGCCACCAGATTGCCCCAGTAGCACCGTGCTCTCAACAGATTGGTGGGCCTGATGAAAATGCTTCCAGGGTTCACAGCGCATCACTTACCAACTTCCAAAGACAAAAGCTGAAGTTCAGTAGAGTGGAGCTAGAGAGGGGGTGCTCGATGCAAAGGGACTGCTTAACCCATAATTTCACCTCCCAAGAAGAACAGGGACAGGACACACAGGCAAGCCAGGCAACAGAGAACACATGCCCCCTGAGTTTGTGCCTCTCGGGTTCCAGCCTGCTTAGTGACTGCCGATCGCTCCTACTAAATAGGAAGGGGAAGCCCTTTTGGAGCCCTAGTGGGAAAGACATGGTTTTAACCAGTTCATAATCAGCCATTAGAGAAGAACACAGCATCTGCGATGTCAGCACAGGCTGATGGTCACTGGTACACTACGGAATTTTATAAACCTGGTGGTTCGTGTGCCTTGTCAGCCACTGGCTGCAAATGAGGATAATTTTCCCAAAAGGAGCATTCAGTTGCATTCTCATTTTCCCTTTTGGCTCTTTCAAATATAAACAAGTACAATAATGTTTAACACTGGGGAAATATACAGTAACTTACAGGCTGTGCTTCGGCCCTGAGAGCCAATGCTGGTTAAAGGGACAGGACTCCCTGCCCGTAGATCTGCCCTCTGGCCCTGAGCTTTTATGAAACCTATTTTCCTAATAAAACATGTTCCTTGCATTATCGCGCCAGCCGAGCCCACTAGTGAGGCCACAGTTGAAAGGGCATCAGTACTTCCTTCCAAGCTCTTGTTTTTCAGAGACCTTATCATTTGAGACTCAAAATTTTTATTGGCCGAAATTCTGATATCCCTGGTTCTCTGGGAGAGTCAGGATTTTGATTTAGTTACAGTAAATGAATCCTTTCTCTTTTTTTTTTTTGGTGGAGGTGCCGGGGAGTGAACTCGGGGCCTCATGCATGCCAACCTTTCTCTTCTTTGAAAAAATAAGCGTTTTAACAATCTCAGTGGATCATATTCAGAGCCGGGCCATTATCCCGGTCCCTGTCCTCATTTAACAGGTAAGAAACCTGAGGTCCAAGGAGGGTAAAAACGATGCCCACACCCTGCCTGTAGGGAGCAGTGATGCTGATGAGCACTCAAGGCTCTCCCTCTCCAGTGCACTGACTTTCCTCTACACCAGAGTTACCACACATCAAATGGCAGACTCAAACTATGTCTTAGGTCTTCGGTCTTGTTAAAGAGCTTTAAAGAAGGATTACATTTTCTTCTGCCCACCCCATTCCCTCCCCCGTCACTCTCATCTACAGGAAGGGGCCAGTGAATATTGTTTTGGGGCTACACTGAAACAACACAGGGACTTAACCCCGGGCTCCTATCTGTAAATGACACCTGGACAACTTTTTGAACAACACAAGAGTGACGAAGGCAGAATGTCCTCATCTTGTTCTCATTCTAATATTCCAGCCCCAAATCAAATCCAAATGCCTGTCACAGACTTCTCTGAGTGTCATCTTCCTCTGAACATCCCCACCTTGGGCAGAACTGTCCAGCTTCATGACTGTATTTACAGGAGTCAGGTGGTTCATTTGGAACTTAGGGAGACTGAGTGGGAACACCCATCTCTCTCCAGATCACAGGTAGTTATCTGCCCAGTCATTGGCTCTTGGCGATGAGATGACCCTGCCTTCAGGGACAAGGTGCTGCCATGGAGCCAATATAAGACATCGAGGTGCCCTAGCCCCATCTTTCTCATCCCTGCCAAGACAAACTGCTGATCTTAGATTGAGACCTTGCAGAATCCAAAAGGTTAAGAGGAATAATAAAGGAAACTGCCAATTGTAAGTGAATTCTATTTGGCTCTGAAAGCTGAGGCACAGGCTATATTATAAAAGGCATCTCTTTGCCGTTGTTTACCATCACCCTGACTAATGCAGACCTTTTTTTTTGTTTGTTTTAAATAATCTCATGCAAATTAGACACACACACTTCCTTCCAGTTGATTGCTATCTGCAAGGAATAATCTAACCACAGAGGGACGGAGCAATGGCTGAGCAGGCAGAGAACTGGAAGCAAAGGGCTTCACCGTCCTGCAAGCCTCCTCCCTCCTCTATTCATCTGAGTCTTCCTTTAGCTGCTACCTTTGGAAGAATTCGTCCATTTTAATAAAGCCCCAAAGGTTCTTTTAGTTGAGGTATCAATATGCATTACCTGATACCACTAGTACTAAACATTCAGATGTTCTTTCTATAACTTCCTTTCTGCCACTTGGTGATTTTCAAGAGCTACCAGTCCCCAACCCCCAGCCACTCAGTCTACAGCACTGACAATTCAAATCCATTATTGACAGAGAACAACACTAAGAAATTCCCGTTTCTTAGTGTTACTCTCTCCACTCACTAGCGCTAGTGAAAAGGAGGAGAAACGGACGAGGGAGCTTGTCTCCGAGTAGGAGAGGCGAAGAGGATGCGGGCTGACTCTGAGAGGCAGAGAGGCCACTTCATCTTTTCACACCACAGTGGCCTGATCGGCAAAACTGAGAGCTCACAATTCAAACCAAACTCTCTGGGTGAAGATTCCATGCGCCCAGCGTGGGGGCAGACTTCTTGTTCTCTCAGTTCTCTAGAATCTACTTGCAAAAATCCCTGCACCAGGAGAAGGCTGCTGCCCTTGTGCAGGGGCTGGGCCAGGCATCGCTTCTCCAGGGTGGGCTTCTTTTAAAAGAACAGAGCAAGTGAGCTACATCCTGAAAAAAACCCCGGTGTCACTGCTGCAGTGTCTGACCTGCATGGCCGCAGGGCTGCCATCCTTGCCTGCTTTTATTGCCTAGAAGATAAACAAATTTGCTTTCTTTTTCTCGGGGTTTCTGTTCAAATGCAAACAAAACCAAACTGATTGACTTTGTGAGCTGCAGGGTACTGGCTGCGATTGGGATGCCCTAGGGTCCTTTCCCACGACTCAGACCAAACCAGGGATCCCGGGAGGGCTGTCTTTTCTCTGTGGAACAGGCTGTGCAAGGGTTTCTCAGGATAAGTAACCTCAGCACTGTCCCCAGTGACCGCTGGGCACTGCCACGGGGCCTGGCCCTGTGCAGGTGAAGCAGAAAGACAGATGACAGAAGACAGCAGTGTTCTCTTCATCTTTCAGGTCAAACAACAACCAGGACAGAAGGGTTAGGAAGAGTTTGAAATAAGCAAGGTAATGAACTCCTGCCAGCGACTTCCTGCCCAGCCCTAGTTTTATTATAAAAATGTGGCATCTGACTGAGATCACGGGAACAGGGCCAGAGGGCCAGCAGCAGAGGGTGGCAGTCAAGGGCTGGTCACTGGGACCTCTTCCTCCCCGCTCTGCAGCCCCCTCTATTTCTAAGACTAGGGCAATTCATCCGGGACTCACGGACACTGAGCGGGGGTCACCTCTCTCAGAACAACTAAGTTATCTGCTCTG